ATTGCGTGATATAAAGTCACAATTGCGTGATATACAGTAAAGTCACAATTGCGTGTTATAGTCAGAATTGCGAGATATGAAGTCAGAATTGCGAGATATAAAGTCGCAATTGCGTGTTAGTATAGTCAGAAATGCATGATATAAAGTCAGTATTGTGAGATATAAACTATTCTGAGGGCCTGGTAACTCGCAATTGCGAGTTTATATCTCACAATTCTGAGAAAAGATGTCAGAATTTCGACATGTGAAAAAAGTCAGAATTGCGACTTTTTATCTCACAATTCTGACTTTATAACACGCAATTGTGACTTTATATCTCACAATTCTGACTTCATATCTCGCAATTGTGAGATAAAAAGTCGCAATTATTTTATTTATTTATTTTATTCAGTGGCGGAAACAAGCTTCCATAGGTATCAGACGTTAACACTGTGGTAATCTTAAATATACCGTGGTACAAAGGTTTTAGATTTTTTGATTTCTATAACATTATACATGTCTTTACTGATCAATTTGAATGCATCCTTACTGAATAAAAGTATCATATAAACTACTTGATCTGCAGTGCACTAGAATAGAAACATTCAAAATGGCCACTCAGCCTGACCAACAAAAACACAACATCAGTTCAATTGACATAACGACAGTCTCATGATGCAACTATAAACAACTAATCGTCAGTTTCCATTGATTGTAAGGGAAAAACTGCTGATGAGGAGTGTGATGCTTGCTTACATCAGCCACGAGGTACTACATCACTCTGTCTGATGAAGGCAGTGCTATGAGCAACATGACAGGAAGTGATGCGTTCAGCAGCCCTGCGGTCCTGTAACCTCCTTGTGTCTGGCTCTCTTAAGTCAAACGCCTCTGTCTGCTAGTTAGAGGCGACAGTGGACACCTCAACTGAGCACATGATGACGCACCTGGAGATGAGGTGAAATCTGCCCTGACACTGTTGGCTTCGGGGACAATTTAATGTCACAATAGTTATGAGTGCAAACCTCACAGGATTTATAAAGGAGGACAGCACGGGAACGCACACGTAAAAAAAACCAAGACAGTATTTTAAATGCATTTGATACGTTTTATGCAAATTGGTCGCATTATCCAGGGGTGCACTGAAATTTCGGCCGCCGAAAATGGCATTATCGGTTTTCATTATCAAAAAGAGCTGACAGAGATTGAAACTTCTGGTGAAGGAAGAGACTCGACAGGGAGTGCAGCGCAAACAACATACACTCCCTCACTTTTTGACGAAATTTTACAGATGAAAAGCATTTTAAAGAGAAACCTGCCTGATTAAATATAAAATGTCCGATTAAATAAACAGCAGTCAAATTTTCTGTGTGTATATAACATTAAAATTGGCTTAGCACTGCACAACTGTGTTTCCTATGGCTATAGGCTTACATGTTGTCTACAGTTTGAGTTAGGATTAAGTTTTATTGCTGTTTTTGCACAGCAATTTAAAATGTAAGTAAAAAAAAATGTTTATATGCAGCAGCAGAATATAGAGGCCTACTGCCATTCTGTGATTTTGTGTGCAGTTATTCAGATAATTGTGGATCTTTTTTGCACAAAAAAACGTATAATATTATTATTTATATTTATTGTTAATATATGTTATGTTACGGTTAATAAAAGTTAGATTATTCTATTGCATTATAAAGTTTTAAAAGAAGCTATTTTCGGCTTCAGTTTCGGTTTTCGGCCAAGTGCATCCGAAATTTTCTTTTTTTTGGCCCAGAATTTTCATTTCCGTGCATCACTAGCATTATCATGAATTTAAAAGGGTGATTTCAAAAAATCTAAACTAAGTTGTAACAGAAAAACTGCTTTAGGGCCTGTTCACATATCACGTCTTTTGCGCGCTCAAGTTCGTTATTTCAAATGCGGTATGCGCCGCATCGAGATAAAAACATCATAACTTTTCAGAATGCCGCAAGCGCACCATAAAACGCACAGTAGGTCACGTGACAAGAACCAACCGGAGCGCTTTGGAAAAAGGAGAATGCGGCGCGCCCAGCGTTTTCTACGCGTTTTTAGATGCTATATGTGAATCCGGCCTTAAGATGCATTGCTTGTGTTCCTGATTGGTAGAACTTCAGAATAAACTGTAAAAAGTTAGATTAGTGTAACGTAACGTTTTTAAGTTGATTCAGTGATATTCAATTATATTTTTCATTTGAATAAAAGTTGCTGCCTTAAATTAAATACATTCAACTTGGGATGTTCAAGTCAACTTAAATTACATTAACTGACTTAAAATATTGTTGAAAATTGCACAGTTGGTTTTAATGTAAAAACACATGTTGTCATAAATTATTGATAATATTTTTTTTTTTTACAGTGACCATATGAAACACATCATTTAGTACAGTAAGAAACAAGTATATCTTTTGGGGGGGTTACACAGTTTTAAGATTGGAATGCTTAAAAGTTAAGAACATGAATCAATTTCCAATTGAAACATGATATTCAACAATACAAAAAAATGTAGCAAAGCTGATTATGTCCATCAGCAAATGTAGAAAGAGGCCGTCATAGCAGAAAGAAAGCAGACGATGTGGAACTAGCAACACCAAGGTTATGTGTTCGAATCCCAGGGAATGCATGAACTGATAAAATGTATATACAATGAATGCCGTGCAAGTCATAAACACTCAAGAAAAGCAAATTCATGAGGCAGAGCAAGTCAAAAATGCAAAAACAAGCATATTTATGATAAATTGCACACATTAATCTAAGAATGTGCATTAAAGTAAATAGGCTCCATTTCAATTTCACGTCGTCTTTAAAAAAAGCAATTAGCACGTGCGTTTGCACTTACACAAAGCTAATGAGGATGAAGATGAGCTATTGTCACTATGGCTGACACAAGAGACAAATGAAGTTCATGAAGACAAAGCATTTTTAAACATCATGAGTCCAAGAGCCTGACTAGAATGTTCCTCACTTTGAGCCCCTGCAGTACAAAGAAAACTTCCTTCCCAGACGCCCCACGCAGTATTTGTTTCACCTTCTCTGTCGAGTGCCACAAGCCCTCAAGACTATCAGAGCAGCAAATAAAAGGCACCTCGCAGGCGAGAACTAAACAAACTGAGTTTGGAATTACAGACCCCAGCCTTCAGTTTCTCAAACTCAATCAGTGTCCCTTCCCTCTCTCCTCGCTGAGGCAAAGGCACCATGAATTACACCGGCTGGGATCGATGTTCACTGAACTACAGACAAAGAAGAAGGTGCTTGTAACTCCATGACCTCATGATATGAATATGACTTCTACCTTGTGTCTATAGTTTTCAGTTTGAGCACATGGTGGATGAGTGCGTTTGTCTGCCATGTGCTCAGTTTGTGTGTGTGTGTGTGTTCCTGACTTGTGTCATTTTTGTTTTTTACTGTGTGCCATGCGCTCTTCTGTCAGTCGTTTACACCCGACAGACCTTAGAAGAGATATTTATTAATCGTACAATTTTGGAAACATTATAACGCACGCAAAGTCAATTTATAAATCAGTTATATCTAGAGCCCGACCGATAAATGATTTTGAAGGCCGATACCGATACAAATATTTCTGGGTTTTAAAATCCGATATTCCGATATATCGGCCAATATTTTATTTATTTATTTATTTTTATTTTTTAAACTGCACATGATAGTCACAAATTTTGTCATGCTTATTTGAGTTAAGAGAACTGATTGGGGTGTTCTTTTAATTGTTATTCAAGTAATGTATGTTTCGTGACCAACTCAATGAGTGTTGCCAACAGGAACGGTGTAGAGTGCCCTCTGGTGGACAAACTATACAACTCCAACACTCATGACATGGTTCAAGTGTGTTTCGTCCGTTTTCATTTTATTTTTGAAATATTCATTTATCGGCCATTATAACTGCCGATACCGATAGTTTGGAAAATGCCTAATATCGGCCGATAATATCGCTCTGGCTCTATTATATACTTATAGTTATATTTGTGTGTAGAATGTACACTACCATTCAAAAGTTTGAGGTCAATAAGAATTTTCTTATTTGAGAAATTAAAACTTTAATTTTGGAGAAATATGAAGCAGCACAACTGTCTTCAACATTGATAATAATCAGAAGTCTAGATCTATCTATATATCTATCTATCTATCTATCTATCTATCTATCTATATATATATATATAAACATAATTTATATTATATATAAATAGAAATATTTTTCTTATATTTATATAATTAAGAAATATTTGCATATATATATATATATATATATATATATAATTCATAATTTATACAGAATTTATAACATATATAAATATAAATATTTTACATATAAATAACACATTTTTCTTTTACATGCATGTGTATTAATATATACAAAATAATAAATAAATATTTAATAATTGTGATTAACTGTTGCCCAGCACTACTTAAAATAGAAAACAGTTAATTTTTATAATAATAATTCCCAATATTACTGTATTTTTTTGTCAAATAAATGCAGCCTGGTGAGCAGAAGAGACTCAAACAAATCTAATCAACCCCAAACGTTTGAACTGTAATTTACTTAGGATGGATATTATTGCTTACCTATCACAAACTTATAACCTTAATTATATTATTTCAAATATCAAAATAAACTGAAATCAGCTTTACAGAATAAAACAGTTTTAAACATTTTCAATAAACATGCATCTAAACAACATCTCCCAAAACTTCTCAAATACATGAAATAGCCATATATCACCTTCAAATAAAAGTACCAAACTAAGTATAAAAGACAAAAATAAGAAAATATTTCAGTAAAAAAAAAGTAATGAGAATAATTGTGGAGAGAGAAAAAAAAAAAAAAACTAACTAAACAGTATTAAGAATTTTGAGGTAAATCTGTGTGAATTCTTGTGAACACGAATCAATTTTTCCCTTTCAATTTTGGAATGATATGTGATCGGGACGTGTGTTTGTGAGTTTCCCCTCCAAAACTTCATGTAAACACATCAGAAAGTCGGTTTACTCACCTCCAAGGAACTGCATGCCCCCTGCAGCGCGTCCAATGGTTCTGGAGATGAGCTCTGATATGCAGCAGCCCATGAGCGCCGTGAGCGCCACCAGCAACAGCAGGCCGCATCCCACCCCCGTCACCACCGTACAGATCCGCCACTCCACGCTCGGGATGCCCTGAAAGCTCGCGTAGCGCCCGCACTGCTCCAGCATGACCGTAGCCTGCCTCTCCTCGTCCCGCACGGGATACGAGCACCGCCGGAAAGTGCCGAAGGACACCGGCTTATCCATCTGTGAGCCCAGCAGCCAGTAGGGCATGAAGAACCCCACACACGAAGCTGCTGCGCTCAGCAGGGACACCAGAGCCCAGATCATCCCGGTGCACGTCAGGCTGGATGCCATGCTGGGCAAATGTGTTTAAATATTGGACACGCTTCCAGAGGAGAGCTTGGGGGGGAAGAGAGGATGTCACGAGAAATAGTTCCTTTTCCCTTGTTGGAAAGAGGATGTCTATCTCCATACGGTTTTCACCATGGTTCTGTGTGCCGTCACCTGAGGAAGAAGCATAAAACACACTGTCCCATCAGTCTTCAGGATGTTTCGACTGACATTTAGCAATCAGGAAGAGTCACAATTTCTGTTTTCTGATGCAACAACATTCATATCCTCAACTCTGGCCCTCGAGATCCACTTTCCTGCAGACTCCAGCTCTTGATCTAGTAACCCTGAAGACCTTGATTAGCTTGTTCAGGTGTGTTTGATTATTGGAGCTAAAATGCTGGAAATTAAAGGGGCGATAGACTAAACCGTTCCCCCTGTGGTGAAAATCAAGCTTTTAATGTTTTTTTGTATGTCTATGGTGTTTTTAACATGCTTTAAGTCAAAACGTGTAAATTCATAAGTCAGCACTATTGCTGAGTTTTTTCTCCATAAAACTGTGAACCAAAAACGAGCTTTGAAATTGTCTAGCTTGTAACCAATCAGGTCAACATGTGATCGTCAACGAGTGGATCTCTGAGCTGGTGTGAGTGAGTGGAGGCAGGGCTCATTTGCATATCCATAGAACCGCGTATACTAAATTACTATTATGAGCAGCTATTGCGTTTCTCAGGAGCTCATTACCCTCCTCCATCCCCAGCTCCTCCTTTCGCCCAGTCAGGATTTGGCATTCTGATTCCCCTTTAATCATAATAAATATTCTCGAATTATGTTGTGTTTTAAAATCGTGAATTATTGATATCTGCATACATTCATGTTGGTTCTGTTCAGTTTAATTGCTGCTCTCCCTGCTCTTATCAATGCTAGTTGGAGAGTTAACAATGCAATGCTAGTTAACAATGTTAATGTTACAGGAGTTCTCGCCCCCAGAACGGAACAATACCGCCAATCCAAACTGTATGCTAATTGTCAATCGTATTTGACGATAGTGGTCCTGACAAAAATACTGTTATCATCTCCATGTAAACTACAAAAACGTGAATTTGTTGAAATGTTGATATTATGCGCATTATGTGTTCAGTCTATTAGGACTGTAGTTTTTATTTACAAAGTGACATCGCCATCTACTGGCCTGGCATGAATAATACAACGTTTTTGGCGTTTTCACAGATCTCTGTGATTGGGGATCTTGACAACGTTTTCGCCTGTACGCCAAAAAACGCAAAGGAAACAAAAAATTGTTTTAGTACATTGTTGTTGTGTGAACATAAGTGGACTAAAGCCAGAGAAGAGAACCTCGGGTATACTATACTATATAAAATTGTTCAAAAGTTATTTTCAAAAGAAAATAATACTTTTATTTAACACATTTTTCAAAAAAAAGTAAATACGTTTATGTTGCGAAATATTTCATTTTCAAATAAAAGTTGTTTGATCCAAAACATCCAAAAAATCCTAAAAATGTGAAGCCACAACTGTTTTCAACATTGCTAATAATAATAATAATCATAAATGGTTCTTAAGCATCAAATCAGTATATTAGGATGATTCTGAAAAAGACTGTGTAAAAATACAGTTAAATAAAAACATGCATAAATAAATAAACAAACAAGTAAACATTTGCATGTATGTTTGTTACTTAGAATATTTAAAATGAATAAATGAATGAATGAATGTTTAATAACATATCTAACTACAGTACCTGAATGAAATTTAACAAATGATTTTAAGCTTCTGAAGTTTAACTTAATGCTTGTTCATCAGTTGTCGTTAATAAAGTTGCTATACTCAACTTCTTTAAAACAGTCAGGAAGAGTGAACATTACTCAATAAGCCTGACTTAGGTCTCAAACATCTAATAATTACACAAAAGATTGCAGAGGGACACTAGCAGAGGAAAAGAAAAGAAAAGTTGTAACATCTTGATTTTATTAGTCAAACATATATTATTTAATTTGCTAAACGAATAATTTTGAGGCTCGTCGGAAAAACTCCATTGTAACTGCAAATTTTCACTTTTCACAGTAAGAATCTTTACAATAATCAGTAATCGTTAATAAGTCATAGCCTATAGTATGCTTAACAGATCAGCCGTGCTAATGACATAGCCTGAATGACATTATTTAAGGGTGTTGTTAAGGATAATTTAGCTTAATCATATTTGATATGATGGGCTATGTTAGGGGCTAAAACATCTAATTTATAATGTTAGCTACAGAAAAGAAAAAAAAGGAAAAAAGTTTTTGGAAAAGCTCCTAAACAGACTGAACTATATTAATAGCCTAGTGTCAATGCTATATTTATGATAAACCCCTGCCATGCAAAAGTCTAGCAAGACATCATGCAAAACATGAATAACCATATTAAAAAAAAACATATTGTGTCATAACTTACATAGATAGGCCTATATTCTGAATGGTGTGTTAATTCAAACTCCGGTCCAGCTTCATGTGGGACCGTGAAGAAGAAATAAACTTTGTCCGCACAACGGGGCGCAACTCGCTATAGGCGCGCAGAAAACGCGGGTTAAATCCTGTTAAATGAGGGTCTGCTGAGGTCTGCCTTCGTCTCTCTGTTTAGTTCACTGTCACTCCTGCAGGAAAGCGCTGAAATAATCCCAGTGTTATTAATAAGAGACGCGAAGTACTGCGCAGTGTGTCCGTATCGCTGCACTGAGCGCAGTGTGTGGCAGCAGTCAGACTCTCGCTGGCTCTCTATAGAGGAAGCTCCGCCCAACGGCGATATGCCGCAGAATCACACCGGGGCTAGTTGTCACACGTTTTACTCCAGTAATAGGCTACTTCTGAGGGTCATTTATTTTAAAACCAGTTTCTATACAGACACATGCCTTAAAGTCTTAACTACAAAAAATGTATACATATCGAATATAACTTTGTTAATATGCCCAGCTGAAAAAGTTGCTGATTATATATCACATATAACTTGCTGGAAATGTTGATATGGAATTTGGTGTCACAATGGGAACCTGTTTTCGATTTTTGAGACGAATAGGCTACCTGCGTTTGAAAATAAAAGAAATTGGCGTACTGTCTAAAGCATTTTTTTTTTTTTTTTTTTTTTTTTAATTGCAGGACCCTCCGGGCAGGGCCACAAGATTGTCCCTGGAAAAGTTTAGAGAAAACAAACAAAACAAATCTAAAATTAAATAGATGATAAAATAGGATTATAACTAAATAAATAGTTTAAAAAAAAAAACATGACGCACATTTATTAAACATAACAATGTATTTATATAACACAGAAACCAAACGTTTTCCAAATAATTTTTGAAACATTTTTTTAAATAAAATTGTATTCATAGATAAAAATATTAGCAACTTTTAAATTTTTTGGAGCGAGGCACAAAGATGATCATATTTTGGTGTATGTGGCATGTAAAATCTGATCTATAGAAATAAAGTAAAGAAAAATATAAGATGAACTCTCCACCATCGGTTTGGCTTTTTTCAAACTAAATTTATACTGTAACAAAATTATGAAACAAAAATTAATTCATAAAAAAATGTAAAAATATCATAAAATATCAAAACCATATGGTCAATATGGCTCCTCAAACATACTCTGATATAATCTTAACAGACACACTCAGGTATCTTATGAGAGGTTCTCTCGTATTGCGTAAATTAGCTTACGCTACGGGAAACATAAATCTTTTCGAGATATTGAAGCCAAAAATTATCCTTAATTTGTGTATCTATTGTCAACACAGTGCGGAAGCTAGCAGACCTAGAGCAGGCTGACTAGCGTGTTCATTGGCTGCCCTGCGGCAACTGCAGCAGCCTACCACTGGGCCCAACGTGACGTCGAGCCCTCATGTCACAGCCCGCCATAATGGGCGTGGCTCAGCAAGCAGGGGCTCAGAGGCTGTGTCTCTCTTTTTCATCTCTACAGCGAAGCTAGTCGCATCGCCGGATCTTAAGAGAAGCCACCGCCACTGTTGAGGAAAGCGACAAGCCAGCTTAGGACAGCGACTCAAGAAGCCGGCCATCCTCGCCACCTTCAGCCATTCGTGCGAGCTACGCTACCCGTTTCCTTGCTAAAACTCACTCTAAAAGAGCAGCGAGCGTCTTTTTCAAGATGCCTTGCCCTTCCTGCAGCTCTTGCAGAGCCCCCGCTCAGCGAAAGAGACCACCATGTGATCAGAGCTCTTGGCCTGGGCCTGGAACACGCAGCTCTCGCCGTCTCATCAGGATGAGCTCTGTGATGCACTTCCGATGTTGATAGCCATGAATCTGTCACTCCACCCCTTGTAGGACCGCGCAAGAAGTAGCGCAGTTCTTAAGGTCACCGGAGCCTGATGTGGCACTCAAACGCTCGCCGGAATGACCCGCTCGAGCGTCTCTCTCTCCTTTTCCGCCTTTTTTGGCTCAGTCAGAGATGGAACCTTTACCTCACAGAACAGTGCTCCTCTGTAATCTGGAAAGCCAAAGTTTTTTTTCCAGAAGGGCAGCATCCTCCCTCTGAAGACATCCCAGAGGATGCTGGGCTTTATGGCCTCAGCTGCAGCAGTGCATCAGCTGGGCTTACTGCGCATGTGCCCACTACAACGCTGGCCTCCGTCTGTGAACGAATCAGAGTGACTCAGACCTGCAATACGGCTCTGAATCCCTGGTTAGTGACTGACTGGTATCAGCGGGAACTGTCTCATATCGAATGGTCATCTGGACAGATGCATCCAACTCAGGTTGGGGAGCTCTCTTCAAAGGCAGACCAGTTTTTGACCTGTGGCCAGACCAAGAGTAGCTCCATCACATGAACTTCTAGTCCGTTTGGACAACATCCCAGTGGTGTTCCATGTGAACCATCAGGGCGGTGACAGATCCACCTCTGCGATATAACAGAACGCCTCCTCTTTTGGTCTGAGAGCTGTGCATGTGCCAGGCCACCTGAACGACGGCCCAGACAAACTATCCAGGGACAACGTTCCCCCAGGGGAATGGTCCCAGCACCCTCAAATATTCCAGAAACTATGCCGCCTTTTCGGCAAAGTGGAAGTCGACCTATTTGCGTCAAAAGACAACGTTCACTGGCCAATGTTCTTCAAAGAACAAGGACGCACTGGCCCAAATCTGGCCCAGCCGCCTGCTGTATGCCTTCCCTCCGATCTCTCTGTTGCCACAGGTAATCAAGAGGATCAGGGAAACACGGCACTCGGTGCTCCTTATAGCCCTGCGTTGGGAGAATCAGACTTAGTTCCCGGAGCTGTCACGAACAGCCCCGTGGCTGATTCCGGTGAGAACATTTCTCCTCTCTCAAGCTTGCGGTTCGATCTGGTTGATCAACAGGTGCCCGTTGCCCTGCCTGAAAGAGTGATGAACAAGCAGTCTAGAGATTTCTTGTAATTTCAGAGGATCTTGTTTAAAGAATTTTGGAAATTTCTCAATTTTGTCAAAAAGGTGCTTTCTCAACCACCTCAAGAGATCCATCTCCTCTAGATGACTTTTAAGCCATGCGTCAGGATACCTAATATTCACTGACCTGATGCGTCTCACTTATTCTGATGACTAACTGCCTAACTTAATCAGTTAGTCCAACTGTTCACTGGAAGTGAGTTTGAGCCTATTGGTAGCATTTGAGAAAGAAGATTTCCAAGCCCAGTAGTTTTCTGGGTGATCGTCAAATTTTGTGAACCCGGAACTAATGATCTCACGACGGGCAAGAAACCTTGCTAAATCACTCATTTCAACTTCTCTGTGGGAAGGAGTCTGCATAGGAGCGCCAACATGGACTGTACGTGGCAGACTGAGGCTTTTCAATCTTGATAGCATTAGACTTTGAGACTAAATCATCGACCTGTTCAACAAAATCAGGTGGCACACTCCTATGAGAACTTTTCATCTACTGATTGTTTTCACTTTCATAAATGTTTATGAAATCAACAGGTGGAGTGGCTAAAATTAAGTCCTCAGGAACAACAATGGAGTGATTTGAGTGCTGCTCCACACAATCACTGGTGTGCTGCACAGGGTCTGCAGCAGGAGCGATCGGGCTTTGTGAACGATAACTGCCTTCCTCCATGCTCTTTACAGCCTCCTCTAATGTTCCTGCTTCTGACATAGTGGCAGCAGCCTCCTTTTCATGTTCTAATGCTGTAAGACTGCCTTCCATGCAAACTTTTTCTACTTTCATTTCAGTTTCTTTCTTGACATAATATGCACGTGTACGCACTCTGCCTCAGATCTAGCTTGTGCTTTAGCCACAGCCATGCTTGCCGATGTCCTACTAGACCTTTTATATGACGTTGTTGAACGTGTAATAACAGATCTAGTTTTCAGTATCTCCTTTTCTCTCACCCTCCATGACATATAATGCATAGACATTACCTTGTAGTTCAAGATTCACTTGAGACCAGACTCTGTAGCTTGAATGAAGAGATTCCGTCTTTCCATTGGATTGAAGCTCCGTCTTTTCACTACTCTGTCCCTGATGCAAGTAGGTTGCACCTCAACAGATAATTAAACAGTAAGTAAGCGGTGGTGCAGGGGCGAGGAGCAGGACGACACCAGTGGCACCAACGGATCCAGGGAATTGGACAAAACCAGTGGACGAGTTGGGACGCGTACGGGAGGAGGAAGATCTCCGGACTGAACCAGAGTATACAGGCAGTCGGACGAGACTGAGTTAGAAGGCAAAGACTCAAAGGTGGGGACTCAGGAGGGAAATAGATCCACACACCACATCACTATTAGGCAGAGGTCCTGGGCAGCTTGCATCCAGTGGGCTGTTCTTGTAGGTGATGAGCCTCTGCAAGACCTGTGAATCCATCTTCAAAATCTTTGTTAGGTCAGTCATTCTGGTCTTAGAAGAGACTTGAAACAGGAAATCTCACAAAATAGTCCGTTAACAGGAAACTGGAATACTCAGGAAGGTAGCAGGTAACACATACACAATGATGACCGACAACAAACTGAACCAAACAGGAAGTATCTATACACAGAACATGAAGGGAACTAAATGGGAACAGCTGGACAAGAATTAACTGATTAGTAACCAGAGACTAATGAGAACTAATACAGAAACAACAGAAAGGAACCAAACAGAAAATTATCGTGAGAAAAACAAGAAAGTATCAAATACAAATAAATACTGTAATTATATTTGTATTGTTTGTTCTCCTTAAGGCCTGTTTACAACAAGGATGATAACTATAATAATAATGATAAAGGTATAGTTCAAAAAATCATTTTTAATATTAAAGAATAATAGAGTTCACAACACAACTATAATAATAACAGCACAGATATTGGAAACACTTTCAGAACCATTTTTTTTTATTCCAGTTGATGAGCGATAAAAAACATTGACAGCCAATCAGAATCCATTCTGCTTTATAGAGCTCCAGCATTTAAAGTGACAGATGACAAAACTGAGCTTAGAATAAACATAACGATGTGCGTTGGTGTGGACGCTAATGTAGTTATCATTATAGTTATCTTTTTGTATATTGTTCGTGGTGCGAAAGGATGTCCCAATTTTACCATAACAATGACTACATTTACATGCAGCCAATAATACGTTCAAAACCGGGATATTAGCAATAACCCGGTCGCGAACGGCCATGTAAACACCGGCAAAAACCCGAATATTGCTCATATCCCGGATTTTAAAAACCGGTATATTATACCTGGGGTACCCCTTTTCTAACCCGCTTTTTTGGTCATGTAAACGTGTATTCT